CCGATAACTCGTCGACAGAATACGCTAGAAAGGTCGGCCTTCCGTAGATCGACAGAGAAATGTATTTGCTATTGATTGACTATATTGAAACCTATAACTGATAGCGAAATTTTTTCAGACAACTTGTGGTCAAAATCTACAGAAGAAACTGACCAGCTTGACCAGATCGTAGTCAGGATAATTTAGTAGAGTTTTATTTCCCCCACATTTCTCTTTCTAATGGTGAAAACTGCAAGTCTCTAGCCATTATCGTTCTCCAGATATTCAAAAAACATCGAGGTGCATTATATTTTGGTGTCGATAATAGAAAAGCTCAAGATTACAAGAATAATATTCTCATCAATGTATATTACAGTTTTTGTTACCTAAATTTTTAAAAGGTTTTTCATCGAACTGTTAGAAAATGAACCCACTTCGTGAAATGTTTACAATGAATGTTCTTGAATTCTTTTGACGAATTTTATTTTTCGTCAAAAAAACTCTCCATTGTCCCTCTCAGATATAAACACTTGACTTGACAAACTCATATAGGTTTCATTAAATTCCCAGAGAAACATTCAGAAATCGTCCCTCGTAAACCGTGAGAAATGCTCATGGAAAAAAATACTGAAAGCTATCTTGTCCACGTAGAATGCATTCTAAAATTCAAGGAAAACATGCTTTGCAGTTTCATACTATCATGAAATGCCAACTTCTCAAGCAAAAATCGTTGTCATGTAAATAGAAGACCTTCTAATCCATTCTGTTGATTTGCCAAATGTTTTCTTTTGTGTTCTCTTGTTTAGAAAGATAAAGGTAAGATTCCATAAAAATCTCATTGCTTTCTTTAACTATTTCTAGATAGACGCCTAAGAACGGATTCTTCGAGCTAATGAACTCATTTCAAATCAATAGTGTTTTCTTTTACAAACGAGAATAACCTGTTCGCTGTCGTGCTTCAAATTACCTGATGTTTTCTCACAGATTAAAAAACCGATTTTCAACAAATAGAATAACTTTCCGTTCGTTTCAACATACCGATTAGCTCAGATTAGATCCTTAGTTTTGTCAAATATATCAAATTTTTTTCTGAGCTTTTTTTTTTTACTAAGAAATGATCATCATAATTCGCATGAATATCTTTTTTCAATCCTTAATTTTTAGCTATTCATATCTTGAAATCAACAACGTTATTGTAAAAGACATTGCAATCATTTACAACCAACAAAGAACGAAATAGAAGAAATAGACGTGGATGAATACTGGGTTATATACACAATGATAAGAAAGACAACTGATGTAGTTAAAAATACATGTCATAACTAAGAATATTAATCTGTCTTTATGATAAATAGAAAATAAAAAAACGAATTCAAAATAGAAAATACGATATAAGATAGAACAACTAGACTCTATGCCGTATAGAGAAGAACATTAGAAACAAATAACTCCACAAAAATATCGCATTCGTTTTTGTTTTGTTATTCTATTGTTGCAAAAATAGCAGAAAATATTTTTCGAAGAAGAATGGAATCTATTATTTATCGTTTTCAATAGGAATGACCAAGAACACATTCCGCAAATTTGAAAACCCTTTTTTTTTAAGAAAGAAAAACATTTCTTGAAAGGTGTGAAACACGCCCTTTGTCATTTTATTAGATGAGTATTATTCATGAAGAAAAAAACAAAAATTATGTAAGTAAATAAAAAAATCTTGTTGAAATAACAGAAACATTCAAATATTAGGATATTTAATAATTTTCTCATCGAGCAAATCGTACATTCACATAAATCATGAAATAAATTTCAACTAATATATTGAAAGATTTATCTACTCTATTGAAAATTGTATTGATTTCATTTCATTTTTAAATATTTCGTATTTGATTTTAACGTTTAATATTCTTGAAAATATTTTGTATTTATTGCTAAAACGACATATACTAGACTCACGATTAAAATCATTAAGTCTCGATAAAAATGTTGAAAACCTTTATGATAATCACTGCTGTGCGACATTTTGTATAAGTCTATAAAATACTATGAACCTGGATGTACCTTATATACGAAGACATCTATCTCATTGCTCAGTGAAATGACGAAAAGTTGAACTATTTAGATAATGTTACTTCTCGGTCAATCGAATAACAATAAGAAACATTGTGGAAATCTACGAAAGCAGTTAATTAGACCAACGAATTTTTCTCTTTTTGTTCTGGCCCGCTCATTATGCGTCAAATAACAAAGAAAAGAAAGCATCAACGCAGTTGAAGCACTACTAATTTAACAAAAATAAAGCAAAATAATGAGCTTAACACAATGTAATGCTCGAATTATAATAATGTAACAAAAGCTATCAATAGAAAAAATAGTCTGTGACTGTTATTGAGCAGTTCAAATAGATCAATGATTAAATTACAAAGAATTTTCTTTTAAGCAAAGATGTTCTTCTTCCATGTTTAGACGTTTATTTTTTTTTTTTCGTGCTTTAATTCAATATGAATAGAAAAAAAATGACTAAAAACAATTATAGAATAAAGAAAATACATTTATATTTTCAAAGTAAGTAGAAAGAGTACTGTATGAATATATTAACTTTCAATAGAATTAATTTAATGATAATAGTTGACATCACTTGTGTAGTCAAGACTAAAATGAAAAGTTATTTTAAACTTAACTATTCAATGTTATTATTTTGTCGGTTATATTTATTGAGATTTAAAAAAGTGTTATTTTAAAAAAAAAAAGAGTTCAAACAACATTCATTTTCTTTTTTTCCCTTTTTTTTTTTAAATTTTTTTCGTTTTTTATTCTTGAATAAATTCATTGATTGAAGTTGATGGTTGCCGTCGTTATTATTGATTGATTTACTGGTTGTCAATTCTTTTTTTCTCACACGTTTGCTCACTGAATAAGTGATCCACTCAAAAGGTATGCAACGATTGCATTTGCATTCATCAATATATATATATACATTGTTTATTTTTCAACAGACATCTAAAACACTTTCGTCGTCAAAAAGTCTTTGACCAGAAAAAAAAACAGAAATGGATGTGAAACAAATTCATCTTGGAAATAATAATAAATCAATGTTAAATTATAGTTCAATAAAACGTTTAATTCATTTTGTTCATAATTTGGAAGAAAAATTATCATCTGTTAAAACAGTTCATGAGAAACTATATGAATTAATGTCAATTGTATCAAAAACACATGATAATATTGTTGAAGAATTAACAACAATAAAAACAGTTTTAAATGAAGCAGCAATTGATCAAAAACAAGATGAAGATGAGTCAGTTTATTATTTAATAATTTCAATTTAGTTCTTTTTTGAATGAATTTATATTGTTTTTTTTTTGTTAAAGAATAATTCCAATTGATGCAACAAAATCTGAATGGGATGATGAAGACGATGATGATGATGAACAAATTCCAAGAATAATTTCAACAAAAGAATTTGAATCAAAATCTGTAACAAATTTATGTACGAAAGATCAACAAATAAGTAGTCCGTCAAGTCGTCGAACTGATCGTTTATCATTATATTCAGCATCATCATTTGATTCAACATCAACAAATTCTTCAACTATTGAAAATCGTCCAAATTCTTCAACAAGTAAACGTTCATCAAATTTAAAAAAATCCGATCACTCATCAGCAAGAGCAAAATCACCAAAATCAGTTAGTTTTAGTATTGATGAAAATCAAGAATCCAATACATCAATTAATCAAAATCCAGAATCATATATTCAAAATCAAGAATCATATATTCAACCAATTGAAAAATCATCAACAGAACTAGATAATACAAATATACAAATGACAACATCGATGATGTCAAATTCAAATGAAACTTTAAAATTAAATTCTGATCTTATGCCAGAATTATTTAAACAACATCATGATGAAGTTACAACTCAACCAAATATTGGTTTTAAATTGGGAAAGTTAGTTTTTTATTTTGGAATTTTATTTATTTTTTATTTGAATTTTGTTTTTTGTTTTTAATTAGTGCATTAACAAATGTTCGTATTCACGAAATTGAACCGGTTAATGGAGATTATCTTCGATTACTCAATATTTCAAATTCTGATGATTATGATTTGAGTGGACATTTTTTACAACAAAATATTGCTTGTGTACCGGTTTGTCGTTTTCGATTTCCACAAGGTACAATTATTCGAGCTGGACAAACTATCACGGTTAATAGAATAAAAAGTTAATGATTAATTGTTTTGAAAAAACAAACTTTGTTTTAAGATTTGGTGTGGTACATTCAAAGATATTGAACCTCAATTTCCACATATATTTGTATGGAAAGAAAAAAAACGATGGGAAACTAGTCCAGAATGTGTAACAATTTTGGCAAGACCAAGCGGACAGGTTTGAATAGAAATAAAAATCTTTTTCTTGTTTAAATTGAAACTAAAACTGTTGTAACATTTAAAAGATTCTCATTTTTTCAAATCTGCAATCATTCTTGAGCAAGAAACTTCATCAATTGATTTTTATTTAAAAAAGAAAATCGATTTAACGTTTTCTATTGTTGTTTTTTTTCTTCTTTTATTTAAATATAAAACAGGCAATTGCATGGGCACGAAGTTCATATCGTTTAAATACTGATCAATCCTCAAGTATGTTTAATTCTATTGCATAAAATAAACGTAAATTTCTATTTTAAGGTGATATTTTATTTGTACATTCAAAATCGAATATTGGAATATCGGATACAGCAAGTATTGCATCAACTTCTTTCAAGTGAATTCTTCTTGAATATGAAATACTTTATTAAAAAATATCTTTTAAATAGAAATAACTCTCGTCTTTCAGCATTTTATTTTATTGGAAGTAATAAACCACCATTTGCTCAATCACCAGACAGTCCTGTACATCCTTATCATAATGGTGGTGCATCAAATGTACACAATGAACCTCGTTTACAAATTAATCAAAGAGTTTGTTTATCTTGTATTGTTTTGCTCGAAATAAAAATAAACTATATTCATTTAGGGTGGTATTTCTCATTTACTTAATCGACCAAAATCTTCTCCATTTGCAAGTCATACAGGTTGTAAACAAGATTTAATTAGTATGAAATTTTTACGAACACAACAAGCAACACCACGACATAAACAAACTAGTGTTAAAACATAAAATTTTGTTTCTCTTTTTCTAAAATTTTTTTTTTGAAAATTAATGTATTTTATATTTCAAATAGAATAAAAAAATTGTCCAAAAGTTTCGAATCTTTCAGTAAGTTAATGTCATCTATGAATAGACATGTGCGGAATCAAAAAATAATAATTTACCTGGTTCGATACACTACGAGAAAAAAAAGAGTTATTCGATGTTCTATGGTTTTTAGTGAATTATGTGTTAAATCATGTCTGTTAAAACAAAATCTAGGAGAGATGACCAAAAAAATGTGTAATCTCTCGACAGAATTAATCAAATTACGAGTATTTTAGATTTAATGCGGATAAGTTCTGAAATAGTTTTCTTTAAGCTGGCGCCAGACTCGATTTAACAGGATCACGACTGAAATCATTGAAAAATAAGTTACTAGAATCGGAACTAAGAAAAAAGTTCGTTTCGCACATCTTTGTCCATGTCAAACGGGTATATACTTAATTGATCGAAGTACTTAAGTGTTCTACAATGTTCTGATCATTTGATTCATCTTAAATTTTTTTGGAAAACATAAATGTTTCTCTTTCAAATAGTCGCAATAGAACCCATAAAAAAATTTGCCACATTTAAAAGAAATTGTCGCAATTATTCAAACGGGTCAGACAGAAAGTGGGCAGGAAACAGTTTTGGCTGAGTACACTAACGTTTTAATCAAAAAGGTACTTTTTTTAAGAGTAAACACGCAAAATTCTTCTGTCTTAAAATCTCAACTAAAACGCAATGAAAAAAGAATCCTTTGGGAAGTTGTGGTAGTGTAGTGAACTTCAAAATCTTGTAATCAGACGATAGCTCTTCGTTAAGTGTTCTTCGAAAACAAGTTAAGTCTTCATTATTATGAATATCGATGGGTCCCTTTCGTCTAAGCTGTTTTCTATTCACCTCATGACTAATCCGCTGGAATAATTTCGAAAAGAAGTTTTTCAGACACCTGACAGATTTTTAAGCAATAACCCTTCACTGTTTAAAAAGAATATATAAAATGATCAGAACATTTATCTATTTCAAAGTATTCTTCTTTTTTTATATGATAGTTTTCTTCTTTTTCTTAGAGGAGTCAAAACTTTTGGAAAGCCTCTTATTCTATTAGAAATATTACGATTCAATTGTTCTTCTTCCAAGTGTCCGACGTAAACGACCATCAACAATAATTTTTTGTGTTAGAGGCAATATATTAAATGTTCCATCGGATTTAAATGGTTGATAAATGCCCTTAGACTTGGCTTGTGCAATTTCTTTAGCAATAGCATCAAACTCATCTGATTGATACACTTGTCCATTATTATTTTCTACTAATTTTGAAATCATTTCAATAAGTTTTTTTTACTGAAGCATCTTTTTCAGACTGTGTTTCGTAATTATTCACCGTCATATAACGTTGTTGACATTGTTGAAGTAAATGTCTTAATGGAGCATTTTCGTCTAATTTACCTAAATATTGTTCTACAGTTGTTTTTCGAAATGAATCACTATGAGTAAAAACAATAATTGTATGATGCACAGCTTGAGCACAAAAAATTTTATCGAGATATTTTATGGCTTCGGCTTCTTGTGGTAGAAATCTGTTTGGTTCAATAACCAATAGAAAAGCATGTGGACCAGGTATTGCTGTCAGTTCATAAGATTTAGCTACTTCAGTTTTCATATCACTTTCTGTTACAGTCGGATTAAGAAAACCGGGTGTATCAACAACGAATATTTGTTTATCATTAAATAATCGACGAGCAAGAGCACATTTTTTTTTGTTACTGCGTTTGGACTAGTATCTGCATCGAATATTTCTTCACCCAAAATTGTATTTACCAAATGAACTTTTACCTTAAATATCAAATAAATTGTATTCTTCAATATGATTGATACTATTTGTTTTACCTACGCCAGTTCTTCGAAGTAGAATTAATCGAATTTCATTTGATGCTCCAGATGGCACAGAATTTGATACTACTGATTGAGCCATGAAGAAAGGGCAACGTAGCAGTGATTTGACTAGATTAAAATGACGTCATTAGCCCAGTCATTGCTATTCATGTAACCACGACAATACCTTAATTAAATATTTGTATTACTCAAAAAATGAAAACCTTTAAAAAGATCCTATGAAAAAAAGCAATTATCATTTTTGGAGAGAATTTTTTTCGAATTTTATCTACTTCATAGAGGGTGCTAATGTTTTGTTCAATTAAATATTATTATCGAGTGTCGAAGCACTTTTGAGGTCGAATCGTTGTATGAATAGTGTTAAACTCATTGTACTAATCGATATAAATAAAGGTGTTATTGAATCTGAAGACGAAAGTTTATATATTACAATGATCTTACCATCCGATTTTGAGTGATAATCGTTAATAGATACTATTGATTGAAGGTGTGTAAGTGATTAAAATGAAGTTTTTGAAGAAAGGTGTCAACTTAAAAGTTCAGAGTGCAATTTTTAAGTTCTCTATCTGACAATCTCTTTCAAAGTAAACCATTTCTTCATCATTTTTGATGATTACATATGTCTTAATTAGAATGAGAGTTTTTCCTAGAGCACTATGTAATATCTATAGACAGAAATCAGAGGGGAGCACGTTAAGAAATTTTCTCATTACTCTAAATTTAACTACATCGATGTCACACTTTTAGCACGTACAAAAACGATTCCCTTGAGTGCGACGAGGTAAAGGGTTAAGCAAGATTTAGCATCACAATATAATAATATTTCCTTTTTCAGTAGTATCATATATTTGGAAATTCAAGAACATGATATGGTATCAAAATAACGAATATGTTTCCATCTTGTATACAAGTGTATATGGAAAGGTGATATTATTGTGACAGATAATATTTCTTTCAGGACATATTTTGTCCAGTATGAGAACCGAAGAGGTGACGCTTCTCAGAAGACTAAGTTCGCTCTTTCGGGGTTGACATCATAGTTGAAATAGGTCTAGTTCGGTTGTCACCGATTTTCGTGGTTTTAATGGTTTAGAAATGCGATCATTACAAGTTTCCAGTTAACAAATTACTACTCTTCACCATCATTCCAGCTGTAAGTTTCTAACTCACGTTCTTTCCTGGTACAATAACAGGATTTTAGATCAGGATGAATATATTCATAATGGTCATGAAAAGTTAGTTGGTCATAAGCTAAACTCTATCTACAATAAAGATTTTTCATTCTCAAAATTTTTCAGTTCATCTTTTTTGACAGAAAAATATCAAAAAAAATGTTGTTCTATTGAGAAAGTTATTTCAACCAAGAGCATCATACAACTGTGAAATATCTATGTGTTGGCAAATCTAAAACGGCAAAACCTCGTTTAAAAACGAATCTGATAGATCGTTTTATCTCCTGATAGGGAACAGTATCCTGTTACAAATCGAGAAACCTTTCATTGTGTTAAGCAACAATTTCAAATAAGAGAATAGATGAAATTTATGAATTCTTGTAAAGAAAACATATCGTTACTGGAAAAAGTTAGGCAAAATAAAACATATAGAGGTTTTTCAATATCACTTCCTGTGAGTTACTACTCTACGGCAAAATTTTGAAAGAGTTCTTCTATCGTTTTTACAATTAGTGTATATGAAACGTCAAAGACTAAAATAGAACTTGTTACTATAAAAAATTCAATAGTTATATGAGTTTCATGTTGTATATCTTCTTGGAAGTGATAATAAAATTTTCTCTAAGAAACTAATTGGTTAAGTTTTTGCTTAAACGTAGTTGTTCATACTGATTTCGAAAATTAATTTAAAATTTTAAAAAAGTTCACAAAACGTTCATTTTAGACGAAATACCTGGAAAACCCAGTCTTCTGACTGTATTCGCTTGATTGTGACTCGACAATTTGCTTTCTATTCTATAAACTATTAATAAAGCCTTTTAGTCTTAATCTATTCAATATATTAATGAAAATCTTAACAATATCTTCTTATAATTGTTGGTTTTCAAAAGTGTTTGAATCAATCAACTGAAAAACAAACTGGTTTCACTTTTCAAGAATGAAAACGTTCATGATAAAAAATTTCAGAAAGTCACAGAGTTTACAATAAATATAAGAAATAAGTCAACGAAAAAATATGTAATTCGATAGGAAAACAAATAGCCCCTATTATTCGATATAAAAAAAAGAATTAAAATTCCAGTATTCTAGTAGATAATTAGTGTGTATTCAAAAAAAAAATTACTGTTAGATGTTTTAAACTACTTTGTTTGCAATTTATGAAATTTTCGGACAAAATTATAATCAGTCTATCTGTATGATTGATAATTGTATTTTTCATCTCGCGTTGGTTGCTATTAGTATGAAGAACAATCTTAATTTTACACCGTAAACAGCATACTATTTCAATTACGGTTGACGCATAAATATAAGAAAATACAGTTTGTAGATGAATACATGCAAAAAAACACCGAGAAATAAATTTATAAATGTTCACTTCGTGGAGTAAAGAACATGACAAATACACAGATTTTCATCTATTCTATTAAACATGTCAATTCGGATATATCAATTTCATCTATTCTATTTAAATGATAGATCATTCTTTAGCAAAATTATTTTATCAAAGAACGGAAGTAGCGATAAAAGTGTTTTGAATAGACGAGTAATTCATTAAATATTATCTGTTTGAGTTGACCACAATTGAATCGTATTGCATTATTTGTAAAATTTTTGTAACAGCAACCATTTTAAATGATATTCAATAGATATGACAATAAGTATATCCATGTAATAAATGATCGATACAACAATTAACTGAGGAATATTTCAAACTATTGAATATATTTTGAATATTCTTAGTCTATAAGAAATAATTTGTTTCTGAAATCAACATGATTGCACAAATGTGAAATATGAATGTACTTAAATATAACATATGATTGTTAATCACATTTTATTAAGACAAAATAAGTTTACTCAACTCAGGCATTCAACGAAAAAGTGACAGTAGGATATGGATGTAGGAAACAACAATGTCCACACCTAGTCACATTCCACCACAGATATCCTTATCTCACCCACACCTATCCCACCCGTATTATTTTTAAATTAAAATAAACTTTCTGCACTTATTTTTGAAACTGCTGCTCTAAAGTTCTATGAACTTTTTCACATGATCTTTTTATCTGAATTTCCTAGAAATAGGAACTTAGCGTGCCATGAGCGCTTCCACATATACACGCAGTTTTTGTACATCTTTATGATCAGGTGAATGTGTCTTCAAAAGTTGATCTATTCCTTTCAGATACGCATCGATTGCTTCATTGAACCTCTTAAGATGGACAAAAGTTCCAGCCAGGCTTTCATACGTTGTAGCAATAATGGGTTCATCACTAGGAAGAGTAAGCAGTTCGATTTGCAATGTGCTTTCGTACAAAAATAATGCTTCGGTGAAATTACCCAGCTCGCCATAAACATTGGCTATTCGATAGTAGATGGTCGCCAATTGTGGATTATTGTCACCCATAATGGCTACTATGAGAGGAAGAGCTTCTTGATAATAAAAAATAGCTTCAGAATATTTTCCTTGTTGATGAAGAACATTTCCAACATGATAAATAAATGGACCAAGTTCCGATGCGTCCGGAGTCAAACGCTTCTGTAATTGTTCTACTGCCTTGTGTGCGTGTTTGAGAGCTTCATCATATTGTGACATTTCCAAGTATACTCTTGACATTCTGAAATGTGTAATAGCAATAGATGGATGATCATCGATTAAAGTATTCTGTTCAATCTTTAATGCTTTTTCGTAGAAAATCAACGCATCAGAATGATTATCCAATTTCAAATATGTCTCCGCTATTTGATTGTAGTCATTGGCTAGCGAAGAATCACTATCACCGACAGCGGCAAGATTGACATCGAGACTTTCTTTAAAATAGCCAATGGCTTCAGAATATTTTTTCTGTTTATCAAGAACATTTCCTATTTGACTGATATATTTACTTAATTCCGATGAACTTGGATTGGAACTTTTTCTCAATTGTTCCACTGCCTTGTGTGCACATTGCAGTGCTTCATCATATTGTGAGGTGCCTGCATAAGCTGTTGACAAGTTGAAGTAGCTGATAGAAATCGTTGGATGATCGTCGGGTAGAGAGCTCAGTTCAGCATCCAGAGCCTTCTGATAGTATGATATTGATTCACCGAATTTCTCTTGCTCTTTGTAAGTGTGAGCCAGAAGAGTGTATGTGCTTGCAAACGATGGATGGTTGGGCAACAAATACTGTGTTTGTACATCTAGTGCACGCTTGAAATAATGAGTCGCATCATTGTATTGGCCTTGTGAAAGACTTAGTTTTCCGGTCGATAGAAGACAATTGGCAGAAGAAATCGGATTTGTACTAGAGGCTGTTTCCTGAATCTCCAAAGCCTTTTCATTGTATGTTGCTAAAAAAAAAGAACAACATTGTTCACAAGAAATTGCTTCATTTCTCATTTATACACATGGTACTGATGAATATTACTTTAGTTCAATGCATTTTTAAATAAAAGTAGAGAATGAATTTAATAGATAGAAAACCTAACATTTCTTACGACTCTTCCATCTTGATTTCGATTTTTTTTAAAAACTGAATGGTTGACATTCAACAAAAAAACAACCCCTGAGCAACGAAAAGTGACTTACCTGCTTGTTCATAATCTTCATTTTCGTAACATGTGCGTCCTATCGCACTGTACATGTCCAGTAGTGTCAAATCATTTTCGCCATGATGTTGTTGTCGAAATTTTAACGCACGTTTCTGATATGCTGACACTTCATCATAGCGTCCTAGAGCTTCATAAACAGTGGCAATATTCATGGAATAGACAGCACTAGCATCGAAATCTGGATTTGGTGTATTCAACTGACAGTCAAGTGCCAGCTGATGATAAGTGAGCGCCATGTCATAGTCTTTACCAGCATGATAAACACTGCCAATATTATTATATGTTGATGAAAGAATTGGATCATTGGATGGTAGGTACTCCAAATAGATATTGAGTGCTTCTTGTAAAAATTTGAGAGCGTTCGTTCGATTTCCTGCCGACAGATATGCCGAGCCTAGTACATGTTGCATTTCACTCATTACACTTGGAATGTGAGAAGGAAAATCATTATCAATAAAAATCTTCGCCAACGCATCGATAATCTTGTATTGACCCATTTCATCAGTGAGCTTAACTAAGCTTATCAACGGATGACTACTACGTGTTAGTTTACGCATATGATCCATATATTGAGCTAGATTCATGTCAATATTATTACTTGAACTCAAACGTACTTCCCATTGATCGTCGTTCAACTGTTCAGCAGCATCAATACGAAAAACGGTTCCCATAGTGAACAAGATTTCTTGTTCACTTGCTTGATAATAACTCATATCACCAACATGAATAAATGAGCATTGTTGAATGTTTGGATCGATATTAATTACAAATATGATCGATGTTTGATCAGAAATGTATTTGGATGGTTCCGCAAATTTGAGAGCTACGTCTCGGTCGAGACTTGTTGAAAGAAAACTTCTGAACGAGAGAAAACCACCGGTATCATTCTTCAATTTATTAAATTCATCAGTTGGCATACCTTGACCACGAAACACAGTGATCGGCTTCTGTGATGACCATTGTTGGGCAGCCATGGTTTGTATTAGTTGATTGAGATGACGAAGAAAATAACGAAGTTTATAGAGAATGTCTGGTGCGGGAATCCACAATGCTTTGTTTAACATTTTGTAGAGAAAACATTCTCGTGTATACCAAAAGACAGAGTATTCGGCAATAAATTCTTGATCGAATTCATTCGCGATTTGAAGTTCAGTTTCATTATTCATATTAGATGTTCGCCAAAAGTTGATCATTTGACATTGTGCTTCCTCTTCCAAATCATTCTGATATTCTTTCAATAAAATTTCTTTGAGTAATTGAGTATACATAAATGACGGATCTTGACGATTGCCAGCTGCAATTTCCGATTGTGAGACAAATGAAATAGCGACAAATTCATTTCGACATTGATTAGTATCTTTTTTCAGCTGTTCACCTATGGATAGAAGATTGTTCCATATTTGACCTCTGACTTTCTCGTACTCATTTGTCCAAGATAATTTTTTCGATCCATCTGAACCATGAATGTAAATGGAATGTAATTGTGGTATTGTGTGAATAAATGGAACGATATTTTCACTAAATGATTCCGATAAAATGAGAAAGACTCGTTCATCGGAATCGTCTCGATCAGTAACGAAATCAATGCATGCATCGGGATCAGAAAATATTTCCATAGAATGGACAATCGCACGATAGTACTCACAAGATTTAGCATGATCATCTGATGCACAAGCATTGGTGTCGAGCCATATGACAAGAAAATCCCTAATTTTATCTCGAGAAGACACTTCCATATTCGGCTTTGTTTTTTTCAGCCACGAAATATTTTTCAAAATAATTATGTTGCTTCTACAAGTACACGTGCGCAAGCTCGTCAAAAAAAAAGATGTTTTGTTTCTTATTTCCCTTTTTGCGATACTGTGTGCTTGCGCGTAACGTAAATTTTTGTTTATTTTTTTCTCTTGTAAAAGAATAGAAAAAGCAAGGTTATTCATATAACATGATGAAACAGTGATAAAATCAGTGACTCATACTGGTTTTTTCCATGATAGTAGAGTAGCAAACGGATTGGTTTCAAGATTTGACGCATGCTTCTTTCATTCTATGACTTCAAAAATAAAATAACGCAATATTTGTCACAAAAGCAACAAGCTTTGTGTGCACTCACTAAGGAGTGCAAAAAAAATGTAAAACATGATGGAGTTAGTTCACATGAGCATGACGCTGCTTTTTGTCTTCACAACGATCTGTCATAAGATTAAAGAATAGTAGTCACCAATTGTCTACGATAGTGTGTAATTGAAGCTTGAATACTGCATCAAGACAAAGAGAAGGGTGTGGATGCAGATGTCTTCTTCTTGGTTCACGTGGACACTTCGTACCCACACTCTTTATAGTACAAGTTGTAATCGTATTCAGGCATCTCTGGCAAAGAATTGACCCAACGTGTCAATTATGTTATTGTGTTGCGATGATTCGACAAAAAATTTTTTTTTTCATGTAAACTAAGTATATTGATTGAGTAAATATCATTTTCATAAAATCGAAAATTCCACATGCGCATAATTCACTGTCGATTAGCAAGAAGTCTACATTAAAAGTATGAGATTACATAAAAAACAAATGCTACTGAGTCAAGATCGAATTCTACAGTTTCAGTTGAAATCGAACTGATACTCATATAAATATAAGTTTTTGTTTTAACTTCGTTGCAGTTTTGATACCTTTAGGTCCATATTCAATAATTTCATCAAAGATATTTACCAAATGTTATATAAAGCAAAAAAAAAGATTTTTTTAATCCAAATAATTCAACAATAAAGAATCTCCATTTGACATTTTCAGTTCATTTTGAAAAGCACCCATCTGCTTTCAATTGTTGATAATTTTTAATTGATAAATTTCGGCTTGTCCACGTAACGCGCTACTTCAGGCATTAAGTATTTTTTTTGAAATTCGAAATCAAGTTTTATACCGTGTTGTAGAGCATACGTGAAAGTGTAGAAAAATATATTTTATTATTCGAAAAACTATTTCTGTGAATCTTTAAAAATGTATACTTTAAGCTATAGTTACCGTGTTGTTTGTTACAGTTTTTTAAACTATTAAGTACGGCCTTTTGTTTTGGAAAAATAATAAACTTTTGTCCTTCCCGCCATATTGAAATATTCTCGAAATAAAATTTGATCAGTTCTTGCTGTATCAGCGTTACGAAAAAGACCTTATTTTAAAATTTCGGTGAGCTGCCTACGAAAAAAAAACAATAAACAAGCTAGTGCATCATTACTGACTTTTTAAGACGATTCTAACGCATTACTTTTTGTTTCCAAAAATATTGCATCTTGAGGTAGATGAATGTAACGTTGTTACCAAAAACTTGATTTTTGGTACTATCTTCAGTTTACATAATTGTACAATAATTCCAATATCACAAACATCAGAGAGCGACTGGACAGATTCGAAACTAGATTTCTCCCTTTAGTTTACTTATCTAGTGATAAATTTCTCTAAAACAAACCCTAATTTTTGTTTTATTTCCGATGTTTCTGGCTATGATTAACTTTAGTCACCACAATTCGTACGTATCGAGGGAACATTTTGAATAGCCTAGTCGCTCCTGAGTTCGGACCCTGCACATAAGGTAGACCCCATTGAGATTTGACAAACCTCCAAAAAGATAATTACTATTAGGTTTTCTGTTAAGACTTAGAGGCTTTTTATTGCTATTTTAGCTGATGGCATGAGATATGTCAACAAATCGAATTACGGTATTTTGAGTTGAGATTATACCCACAAACAGTTACATATATGAGTACAGTGTCCTGAAAATCTCACATAAAAAAAAATGGTTCCTTCCTGAGATATTAAAGTCCCAAAAATCACTCATATCTCACGGAAAATTCTAGTAGAGTTTTCTGTTGTTTGAGATTTTAATATCTCAAGAAGGAAATACTTTTTTTGAGCTGACGTTTTCAGAACATTTTACTTACAAATGTATCTGTTTGTGGACACAATCTCAACTCAAAGTACCGTAGCTCGATTTGTTGGTATATCCCATGTCACAAGCTAATATTGTAGTAAAATATCTATTAGTCTTGATCAAAGTCCTAAAAGCATTTATCCTTTTGAGCTTTTTCATACTTTAACGGGATCTACATTATGTTCAGAGTTCGAAATCGAAAAGAGACTGGACAGTTCAAAATGTTCCTTCGTGAGTGTACTTGTCACGTACAGCGAAAGTATACTTTACTGCTGCAGGAAATGTTGAGCCATACAGAGACCTAAGAAGTGGCTTTAGATGTTAACGCGGTTTTTAAGAGTTAGAATTGCAGAAACGTCCGTTTAGAAGTTAACAGAACTCATTCAGACGAATATAGGCTCAATAAAAAAAAGGATGGTATCAATGTATGAAGAAAAAGATGCAACAGCGCTACATTTGTTTTTCCTTTTCTTATACGAATGACAATAGTTAGAGGAAGCCATTTTTCACCATTGGAGAGTTTGTTTGATGATCTACAAAATTTTCTCTGAGCGCATTTTATTTAGAGATCGACTTTCACAGGAAATGAGACCTGAAGGAAGAGCACTCCAAATTTAGGATTTTTTTTATGTAACAGTGTAATGCTACTCAAAAACCTTTCTGGAAACTTGAGACTTCGACCACGAAAACTCATTGTCATGTTATAAGTAGAACTTGACAAGCTGCGTTGAATGACATTTGAACAAACTTTCTTAGTTCTTATAGTTTCCGAGATAACTAAACAAACAGTATGTCAAAAATGTAATAGAGTTACGTTTGAACATGCCGATTTGATGAAAAACCTCCATTTTGTAGTTGAATCAATTCTATCGAAGAATACATTTTATTATGCCCTTTAAATAATTGCTACAGTTTTCAGATACTTGCTTTACGATAATACTCGATCTTCAATACAAAATGATTGAAGAACGAAATCGATGACTATTTAACATTTACTAGATTTGGCGAAGCTTGTGTCAAGCAATCACTTTACTCTATGTATCCTCTATTGTCAAAAAAATCATCGATACGCTAAATTGTCAACGTCACAAAATCTTCACTACTCGATAACATGATACCAAATAGTATAATCTATTCGATAGAAAAGATATAAGATTTGAATGATTTCTGATTTATAATAGAAGTAACAATATGAAATGAGAAACTCTTGTTTATTTATTTCCATTTATGGAGAAAAAAAATTGTATATTACAGGTACACAAAATTCATGAGTCAATAAGTCTTTAATGTTTTCAAAAAATTGACTTAAGAAAAAAATATTATTGTATCCAGTCGTGTGTTTTTTGCAACACTTTACAGACAAAATTATATCTAATGAATTTATTCGATATATTTTCGTTGCTTTGTATGATTTATGTTTCACGAACTGATTGTTCATTTTATGAAAACTGATAATAATGAATATGTAGTATTTTTGCACATTGGATCTAGTGATTGAGAAACACTATTATTAGCAATTTAATTGATACTTCAAGCTATAAGCTATTGAATCGGATCGGAATATTTCTACACTTCGATGTTCATTGATTTTCTGATTCTATTCTTCAGTTTTGTAGAATGCAGTCTTTATATTTTCTTTCACAGTGTACAGTGATTGATGAAACCAAATAACTATATAATTTTCATGCTATTTTTCATCTCACTTGTCCTTTTCGACCGAACAAAACATTAGTGAAGTTAAATAGCAAATACAACGGAGCCTATGAAAAGCATAAAAGGAAACGAAGAATGAATGTGCAACATCTTTTACACATTGTTTCTCTCATCTAAATTTGCAATACAATATTCAATTTTATATTGTTTGTCGTATTAATCATAAAAATAAGTATCAATTTCAAAGAATAAATTTGCTATTGATGCAGTATTGTTTTATTTTTATTGACTAAGATATGGAAAATTACGACAATATCATCAATTCAATTATACTATTCTTAGTTACTTGATGGAAGACATGTAATGTGTTATGTAGTAGAAGTTATCTATAACACATATAATTGTGCAGAACGGATATATATCAAATTTGAACTTTTGTCGTCATTTTGCCTTCAAGTATTTTTCTATCAAAAATTTACGAGTAATAAGAATCTTAAGTCTTGCTACTGATTTGTAATCAAGCGTCAATTACAAGTTCTATTACATAAATGACACTTCGTTGCTTATTAAATGTAATTTATGAAAGTCACGTGGAATAACTAACAAAAGCCTTTTCTTCAACTGATGTTGAGTTTCAATTTAGAAAGTGTACCATAACAAAAGAGCATTATAATATTGCTTTTTGTGTTTTTTTCTCTAACTGCATTTGCAATACGCAAGTGTAACAACAAACGACAGAGAAAGCGCTGTCATCATTCTTATAAATATTTACTCAGCTGCCTCATGTCTACAGCTGAATTTTTAATATAGAAACACAAACTTCGGTACAAAAGGGTGTCGTTATATAAAATTAGAAAAAAAACGAAAACAATAATAATATGGCAAACTATCGTGCTTGAGTGGCCTAATTATGGATACAACTTTTCGATTAGGTCAGTTATGTGCTTGAGACCCTGTGGCATCAACAAGAAATAAGAAGACACATAAAACTTAAATCGATTACCTACTATCGACTAATTTTTAGGTCAAACGTGATTGAACAGTTAATGTTCTTTCCTTGTGAGAGCAGGCAATCGAAATTCCACTATCCATCTATTCAAATAGCTTAGTAAATAGATTATTTATCCGATCGATCAACAACTAATATTTCATCTTTTGAAGAAAGAGCTTTCTTTCAGGATAGAGTGCACGAATCTTTTGATAAGCACTACCTGTATGTTTTCAATTTTCAATTACTACCAACTTATTAAACCAGCGAGTATTTATTTGCCAAACATCTGTGTGGTTTCTGTTATCCTCGCCTGTTTGTATTAGTACAGCAAGAATCAGTTTATACCCACAAGTTGGTGACCGTGAGTAAGTAGAGGCTGAACCCTAATCTCTTTTTTCGTGAAGGGAAGATGCATAATATCCTTTTTTAGATCGTGTCATTCAACATGGTTGATATCTTTAGCTTTATGAATAGCTTCAACACTACTATATACTTCTTTCAAAATGTGTTATGGCACTTTGGCTTTACAAGAAACTTTCTAACGACTTCAGCACCTCGAACCTCACCAATGATACGTAACAGTTTATTAGCCTCACTGAAGTTGCTCTCTGGACTCGTCTGTATTCAACAGCCTGACAAATAACAGCCAAGTTCATCAAATTTAACTGTTTCTTAATTCGCTTTATATACTATGTTCAGATTGTTTTTTTTCTTAAATTTTCTCTATGTATGAAACAATAAGAATACTTTATATGCATATTTCTTCTTTTGTTTAAACCATTATTAAATCTTCAAGCAACACTCTCGACTAAAAAAAGCAACTTTCATGTCTTGTTCGTGGACAAATCAACGCTTGATATATGGAGTGTGGGTGTGAATGTGAATATGGATGATGAGTCTCTTTGCATTTATTGATGCATTCCGAAAGTCTCTCGAAACTTACAATAATGAAGAATCTGACTAGTGTATGATGCGTATTATATGTGGTGGGTATTCGAACGAAAAAACTTTTATCTTGTATTATTTTTACTTTTCCTTCCAATATGCATGCAGTTATTGTAGCAGTATTGTACTAATAAGTCTACCTCTTTTGTGCTTGTGCTTCTTCTTTATAAAAAAATAATAGAAGTCCGAGAGCATGAAGCTGAACTCTTAATAAATGAATGACAAAATAGAAGCTGAAAATTTATAATGCCCAACTTTCGATCATTTTCGTTGAATTTTTCTAGATAATACATTTATTGTTCTTGACAGTGTTCTGCTTTTCTTTTCAATACGCTCTAATGCAGGATATGTTGGGTTTTTCTCCAGTGTTTATTCACACTGAGGACGTTGTTTTTTTCCTATACCGGTTTATGATGGAAAAGCACTTGGTTCTCATCGGTCTAAATTATTGAAAGTTTTTTCAATGTGAGTTGTTTTTCTCTTTACTTGTTCGTTTATAAAAGATTTCTCTGCTTTTGTAAATGCTGAAATGCTTGTGAAGATTTACAAAACAAAGTATCAAGTCACCTCTAGAGCTTCAAAGCGCTTAATTTTCTCATGTTTGTTCCTTTAAACTTAGAAACTTTAAAATATTCTGTTCGTCTAAGCTGTAGCTGTAACTTTTGGTAATTACATTTCAATACGTTCTTAGGCTCTCTAAAATTTATAATATTCGAATAATCTCTATACACAAACACTTACTTTTTGACCCGTTAATGTTAAAATAAATTGTGTAAAACTCAATATTTTCAGCTTAGACTTTTACTGTCATCTATCGAGAGGCAGAAATCTATCTACTAAAAATTTCAGAAAGATGAGCCGTTTTAGAGTAAAAAATGTTTTCGAGAAGGAATGTGGAAGTCGACCTTATAAAATATAAAATTTTTCTTTTTTTTCGAAAATTTGGATGCATCTCAAAGAAATTGTAAAGAAGCGTTATAGGTAATATTTGTTTCTCATTCGGTATGCAAAACGTCACATGGTATTTTTATTTGATATTCTACCATTGTTTTTTCTTTCATACTAATGCATTTATTTTGTTCTTCGCCTAAAAGTATAAAGAGAAAAAGAAAAAAATAAGGTTGCTCGGTTTTTCTTTTTTAGTCATAATATGAATAATTTTTTCAAGCATATTTCTACACTTACATTTCTACATTATAATATTTAGATAATTAGCTGCCCATGATTCCATCGAACCAATTTTCCAATTTAAATGTACTTCAATTAAATTTGAATAACAAACAATCGATTATTCAATTAGAAGATTTACCAAATGAAGTATTCTATGTTTTATTCAATTATTTGAAAATTGAAGATATTTACAAAAGTTTTTTTGGACTTAATTTGCGTTTTAATACTTTATTACATTCGCTTTCAAATTGTTATCTTCGAATTGAATCATCGACAAAAGTTAATTTTATTAAAATGATTGCTTCAAAAATTCGTCATTTACATATCGTACAAAATGCTGTTTCAATATCACTTGCTCCATTTCGTAATACTCTTCATTCTTTAATCATTGATTCATTAACAGAAGAATACATCGATCAATTACATGCACTTATTTATCTGAAACATTTAGAAATACGACATATATCCAAGAAGAGTATAGATCATCTTCGGGAGGTGTTGTTTTTTTCACCTCAAATAAGTCATATTGTCCTAACATTCTGGTATTCAAGTGACTTAGTGGCAGGTTATTCATTTTCCTACTCCATTCCATCTATTCATTCACTTTTTATGTATTCCCTATCAAATTTAAATGAATTTGCTTCTCTACTTGATCATTTACCTAATCTGATTCGCTTTCGCCTTCATATCGATTACATTGAAGTGCTTCCAACAGTTAATAGTTCTGTGCCAAATGCTCTCCGCAGTCTTTCCTATTTTCATTTACAATTAAAAAATGGTTTTACATATTCTCAAATCGATTTCTATTTAACACATACACCTTATCTCAAATCATTTCGTTTTTGCACTGCACCATGTCTTGTTTATAGAAATCAAGTGGGTCCATATGGTGTATTGAATTCCCTGGCTGACATTATTGAAAAACGTCTTTTCATGATTGAACAATTTTCATGTTTCATTATTTTTCACATGATTTCAAATGATCCCTTTGATATTACTAAAGTTCATTCAATATATAGTCAAAGTTATTCAATTAGACACAAAAACAATAAAGAAAACTTTAAATCAAAATGGATAAAAAATTAAATGTTGTTTTTCATCGACTGAAGACAATAATATAGTAAAATAAAATCCACATTATTTCTTGTCATCTATTGTTGACGCACAAAACAAGTGTTTCATGATTATTCTCTGTGAAGTTTGTCACCAATCGACAGTCATGATATTATTTTTCTTGTCTTTCGTTTTCTTTCCGATATTTTCATCATGTCATACTAACTTCATTGTCTAGTTAAAGTGTAACTAGTTGATATAGCGCACAAAAAAAAAAGAAAACAGCAGAAAGTGGACGATCATATATAAGACATTTTGTATCTGTTACAATTGAAAAAGAAAACAAAACAAGCAATGATAAAAAGAAAAAGCTATGTGCTCCAATACTGGATCGCAGACAATACCACATTCAACACTGTCGTCCCCTGATTAAATATTACCAAATTCAGGAGTATCCAAAATCTTGTGGATTTTCTGTTTTTTTATGTCTCAAACATAGAGTCAAGATAAGTCTTATTCAGGATCATAACCATCTTATCCAACAGGTCCTTCATTGATACTCTCTTATAATAGTTCTTATTCATTAAATAGACAAGCTTCAACATCAACAAAAGGCCAAAAAATACAGTACAGCTCAAAAGTCTTGTACCACTTTTTTTTGTTTTGAGTCGTGCATTAAAACTACACGGCATTAATTGAATGTGTGTATATGCCTGTATAGTAGAGGTTGAGTACTATCTATCTATATATATCTGTTTAATACGAAAAGCTCTTGAATATAAAATACAACAACAATAAACAAACTTCAATGATAAAAAAATTGAATAAAGCTGCAAAATGATATTGTTCTTATAAGATAGTTTGATGGACAGTCGATCACTACAGACAAACTGTTCAGAAAACTTTTCATTTTTCCAGACTTTGTAGAACTTTTTTCACTGATCATTTGGGTGAAAAAACATCTTGAATTTCATTGAAAAATGATGATGTTATAGCCAAGATGTTTAACACTGTGAAATACCGAGTGTCCCAAAACGTTTGCAACACAGTTTATCTTTCGAATATCTCTGCACAGACAAATGATAAAATCTTGCTTTTTTTTACAAGATGTGCCGTGAAAAGTTCTACAAAAACTGTGAAAACGAATCCCTATTGACTTATTCTGACGATTTCTTTTATATTCGAAATAAAAAAAGTACATGATGACGCTACTTCACACCGTATTTAATGTAATAAAAGTGCGTCGAAGACTTTTATATTTTGCATGTATCTCGGCTTAAGAAAATGATAGCAGCTTAATTTTTTTCAAATGATGCGCTCGCAAAAGCTCTGTTAAATCTGTAGAAACAATTCCTAATGCAAAACAAAAAAGCCCTCCAAATATTTTTATTATCATTTTTCAGTTTTTTATGCCATCTTTTTCTTAGCATTGAAGTTTGTTTGTTGTTATTGTACTTTACATTCAAGAACTTTTCGTATTAAACAGATATATAGATAGATAATACTCGATCTTTACTATACAGGCATATAGAAAAATTAAATTAATGTGGTGTAGTTTTAATACATGACTCAGAACAAGAAGAATGGTACAATACTTTTCAGCTGCAATGTAGTTTATATATAATTTTTTAAGGACTTAGTGATTATTTTCAAAGCCTCTCCCTACAACAACAGCTAAAAATGTATCCACATTCAAATCTAACAAGTGACTCAGAATAAATGTCACCCTCAGAGTTTCTATAATATTTTCTTCAATTTTCATTGTTCAGACTTGCATTTTTTCTCAAAATATTCACCGTGAAATTCTTTACAAAACTTCATAAGAGGTTTCACTATAAAAGTTACACTGCAAAATTCTTCAGGGAAGATTGCGAGACAAAGAGAATATTCCATTATGTAATCCTGTGAAAATTCCGTCTTTTATTGCCATCTCAAGTTGTTTCGCTTTTTGAATCATCTGAAAAAAGGAGTCTTTTTCAGACTTCGCGAGGTTTTATTCGCAAAAATTTGACGCGACATCCTAAAACCCATGTCCACTCATTGTTTCCTCTATATGCAGCTCGATAATAATTCTATTGTACCTAAGTAACGAAATTTGTATACACTCAATTGCTTGACTTGGAATGTGCACGTGAAGAAAACCTTCGACTCGTTGGAAGTTAATATTTCACGAAATATCGCTTTTGCATATCGTAACCTTATTCAAGAAAGTTTTACTGGGTACAATGAAAAAGAATACAATTGAAAACATAGAAAAACTTATTTCTGCCAAATGGAACGCTTATGCTAAACTAATAAAATATGGATTCATTTTTCGAAGAGAAGCTGTTTGAAAAATCGTCACTTTCATATCTCACTGCCTTTTCCGCAACATTTTCCAGTCTGGCCTTTTTTGGTAAAATCTTTTATAGATTTGGTACAGAATTACGCGGTGACTCTTTTGAGAAAAAGTTCAAGTCTGACCAATGAAAATTTGTGAAGATATTTTGGAAAAAGAACTGAACACTATATTAAAAGTATTTATTTGACCTAACGTGAAGAAGTTCAACGCGTATAAGATAGACAATTCTTATTCAATGGAAAATTCTGTTTTGTTAAAAATTCATTAGGTGACTAAATCTAGTTCAGGTAACATCGGTTATCAAAATACATATTTATCATCGAATTCCTATTAAACAACAAATATAACATTTTATGCCATATTTTACTTCAAATAAAATATCTATTTTATTCTTTAATAGGTAATTCTCAACAACCTCAAAGTACTATTGCCGTCTTGTTCATAACAAATATTTTCGAAAATCATTCTCAACATCTTTCTTACTCTCCACATATTTCATACTAATAGCATTTAATTCTCCTCAAAATATGTCTTTCTAATGGGTGATTATCGTCCAAATAATCAACAACAAACATATGGAAGTCCTCATACTCATCTATCATGCGTACTTTTTTCTTACAATGAATGGATAATTATGCAAATTCATGTGTAACGGCAAACTGTATTAGTAGCTTACCACGATCCTCGGTAATGATGTTTATTTAGTTACTTCGTATCTCAAGAATGTGCTGACTTCACATACAACACACGCTTACATAGGAGATAGCAAGAGGGAAAGATCAGTGGGAAGCAATATCAATATCGGCACACTCACCTACATCAGCGTTCACTCCGTTATCTTTTCTCTATCAGTTGTAGACATGATATACACAGAAGTCTATACATGAATTTATATGTGACCTAGATAGGTAAATACAAGAAACTTTTAAAAATTAACAAAATATATATCTTTTAGTAAGAGAAATTTCAAGAGAATGCAAGATCCTTGATCTTTCTGATAGCATAAGTAATTTTTAGAAAATTGTGATGAAGTATATCTTAGAAGAAATTAGGATGTCTTCTAAAGCTTGTCATACTCGTCTCAACATCATATTTGTTATTAGTTCAACATGAGATAACAAATGATGAACTGTTTGATTTGTAAATTTAAAAACGTTGTTTGAACTGTGCAAGGTGCGACAGCGTAAGAATGCGACACCAGTTGGTAAATAATGGCACTTGTGAAGATGATGGTGTTGTCCTTAGCATATTTTTATGAGTTGATATATATATTGTACCGGACTAAGCATGCCAAAAGAAAATATCATATTTAAAAAAAAATAAAATTACGTAATAGGATATTGAGACTCATCTGGAATAGAAACAGACAGATAATTTATAGGAGAGCTTCTTTTTATTAATAATAGACACTCACCTAGTAATTATATAATATTATATTATTTTATAACGTGACAGCATAAAGGGTATGTCATTGGCAAACTTGGAACTGGAGAGCGTATTCTTCTTAAAAAAGAGTAAAATTCACTTCGTCTAACAATTTGGACATATATTTCATTCAAAACAATTGGGTTCATGTTTTTTCTATAAAAAATATAAGTCAGTGTCAAACATAAAATAATGTTTCAAACTTTCTATGCTACAAGGGAATCTCTTCAGCAGTTCCTTTTTTATTCCAATTCTTTTGTCTACAGATTCAACATAGCGTTCTAACAAAAACTCTAAAAGGATTCGGTCTTCTATTGAGATCTGACTACTTTGCGCATATAGAAAACTCAACTAGACTCGTTGCATGAAAAAATTCAGGAGTACTGAACAAAATCTCTTCGAGATATGAGATTTTCAAGATGTAGACATTTTCCTATGGATAATGTATATATAACATGAATTTTTTGAAAGCTTAATATCTTGAAAAGACTTTCAAAACCTGGAGCTGCTAGAAAACACGCATAGTAGAAATTCCATAGCTTAGCTTAACATTAATAGGAATCCAAATCCTTTTAGGGTTTTTATTAAACACGATGTAGTATCTATAGATAAAAAGATCATTGAAATTGGAAGGGGGCAAGTGAAGAGGTTCCTTCGCTATTTCAAAATTAATCTCTTCACTAAAATGAACGAAGTTCTTACTTAACGTATGCGAATAATTATATTGATAATCAATCCATGTTTGAATACCAATAATGATAAATATAACACATGAATAAGAAAAAATTTGTTTGCACTTAAACTCTTCTTTTATGGTTAAAGTTTTCTTCTTTCTTCGCAGCTGTGATTATTAAGCGAAACATTCGTGTCATACTATTGAATTTTATCTTTTCTTGAAACATTTATCAATGTAGTTACTGCGTAATGATGTACTATGTATAGGTATGATATGAATTTTATATGGCTGACATTAATGGTAATATAAGTATTTTATAAATTTTGATCACAAATTCTGATAATTAAATAAAATATAAACTGTAAGTAACAATTTCTTTCTTTTTTGATTTATTACAACCAATTATATAATAGTTATTTTTCAAAACCACTAGAAAGCTTTCAGTTCTCTAACGTTTCACGATCTGAAATAAAGCTTTCATTTTAACTTTATTAACATAAGGAGCCATAAGAAGATCCAGTATTCCTTCAGAGAGTTAATAATAGCGCTTACTTTTGATAACAAAGTTTTCAGTTAACACTGTATATGATT